TCACTCCCGCCCCACAACTTAATTGTACACAGTCAATGTCATGACTGGGAGATCTCCCCAACTGGAGATGTGAAGGCATGTCGTAGGTCGCCGTGCATTCTGGGAAGTGATTTGTGGTGATCAAGGCCATAGCACAAACTCCAGGCGTAGGACTGCACTTAGTCCGACGGCCACCGACCACGCCTTCACGCCCTCGGTGTCTCCTGCACTGCGGCTCCGGGCTGGATCTCCAAGTCGCCCCCGAGTACTCGTTCGTCGTAATTCTAATGTCCGACCAGATCATCACAACTAACCTCGTTTCTCCGTTCTGTCGCGTGATCTTCTCTCCATTTCTTCTTCCACTCAATCAAATGTAAATGTGCAACAAATACCATCCGCCATTACGGATAGCGTCCACCACGCTACCCCCCAACACCGCCTCACTCTTCGGCGATGTCGGCCTCTCCACGCGATTGCATCACATGGAACCTCTGCCGGCTCCGTCGCTTCTGCTGGAAGTCGAACAGCAGACCACCACAGTTCAGGTGTTCTTCCTTGACCCAATTCGTCTCTGCGTGGCCCTTCCAACGCACCAAATATTCCTTGAGCCGTCGACCGTAGCGGGTGCGACTCTCCGTCTTGACATCCAAGATCTCTTCAACTTCATACTCGTTGTCACCGCGAGTTTGTGCCTCCCAGCTATCCTCGGGGAGACGTTCTTCGTCAAAGTCAAATCGTTCGCTTTCATCAACAGTGAGATTTTCGGCGGGTCGTTCGGGGGAACTGTCGGACCAGCTTCAGCTTCGAGATGTGTACGATAGGGAACAGTCGGTAGTCAGTCCCGCTGATTTCCAGCTTGGCAGCGTAGTCGCTCGCCGTGGTGGCGACTCTGAAAGGCCTATGCCACATGTGAGCGAGCTTCCGAGCGTATCCGACCTTGACTCGGTCGAGGTACAGCCACACCTGCGATCCCTCCTTAATGGGTGACTCCGGTACGTTCTCATTGTGGGCTTCCGCGCGACTCTCACGAGCTTCGGCGAGGAGACGACGAGTCTCTGTCTGAGCACGTTGGTATTGGCGTTGGATCTTGAACCTCCATTTCTGTGGGTCGAGATCTCGGCTTCCGGTCCCTCCAACAGCCAACGATGCCTCAATAGTCGTTTTAGGGTCCCACCCGTGCAGCAAAAAGAATGGCGTGTCCTTGTGTACTCGGTCGTGCGATGTGTTCAACGCAAACACCAACTGCTCCGCATATTTATCCCAGTCCTGTTGGTTCTCGTCTTCAACGTACATCCGCAGAGATCTGGAAATAGTCTGGACCATCCGCTCCGCTGTGCCGTTTGCTTGAGGTCTATACGCGAGCGTAGATCGCTGACGCTGGCCCAGCAGCGCATTAAACGACCGGAAAAAGTCGGACATGAAGCTCGGTTCCTGGTCGTGCCTGATTACTTCGCTGGCTCCGTACCGCCGAAACACGCATTCCTCGTATGCCTCAGCCACTGTTGGTGCGTCCTGTCCGCGTTTGCCTTTGCCACAACGAAGCCGGTGAAGAGATCCACGAAGACTAGGAGCTCTGTGTTGCCCTTGAACGACTTCGGGAGGGTGGGGATATGATCCATAGCCACGACCTAGAAATGATAATTAGCGGCGATATTGCCCGGCGATCGCCCCCGCAAGGTGGGTTTTTCTTTTCCCGTCTCGCAGTCGACGCACTCCCCGACATACTTCTGCACACTTCGGAACGTACCTCGCCAGTAGAAATGCCTCCGAAGCTTTTGGAATGTTCGGCTGACTCCCTGATGACCTCCCTCCACACTTGTGTGGAAATGATGCAGGAGATCTTCGTGGAGTGTACTCGGCATTACCAGTTTCACCATAGATCCACGGTCCTCGATATCACCACCGCGCCCCTCGACTGGACAGTACATCAAGAGGCCATACTCGTCGACCTCGTAACTGTCAGCCAGTTTACTGCACGTCTTGGCTTGACGGCTCGAGATCTGAGAGAGATCACCGTGCAGGAAACACTTCAGTGACCAGATCCACACCTCCTCGCCTTGAGCACGGCAAATACGTTCCAAGCGCAGCTGCTTGACGACGTCTTCCTGCAACACGGCTGGTGCGACAGTACGAGATCGGCTTCGCGTGACAGCGCCTACCTTCGGATGGGCGTCACGTTCTTCGCGCGTCTTGAGGAGCTCGTCCAGTCGATTCAAGGTCTCGAGGTCCGTGTAATCGGTGTGACTCTCGACAACTACCCCGGCACCACGCTGCAGCGCCTGTCCCGCCAGCATATCCGCGGGTTGGTTCCAATCGCGTTTAACGTGGATGAGTTCGCAATTGCGGCCAAGACCGCAAAATCACTCTGGCCTTCTCACGCAAGAGCTGGAGTCCCGATGACTTGCACTCCATCTCTCCACGCAGTTGGCGGATGGCTAAATTGGAGTCGCCACACACAATGAGACGGTCGATCTGGAGATCGGCAATCAAACGAAGTCCGAGAAGGAGGCCATGGTACTCGGCCTCGTTCACAGTCAGGTCCGGTAAATAGCCAGATTCAGCCTTGACAGCCTTCCATCCAGGAGCATCCCATACCACAGCGCTGAAAGCTCCACCAACTCGTTTCGGCTTGGTCGATCCGTCAAAGCTGACGACGCAAACGTTTTCTCCGGGCGTAAAAGTCGGCATCGGGATAGCCAATGCTCTCGTCGACTTCTTCTGCGGAGAGATCTCCTCCAACGCTGCATCCATCTCTGCGCGCGGAGTGATACTGGCGGCAACCAAACCTAGTAGCTCATCTTCGCCTTTCGTTAAACGTTCGATCTCTAGCGAATGGGGGGAGAGCAGCGCCGCCCACTGAGCTAGCCGTCCCTTCAAGCCTTTCGCACGGAAGAGCCATGCGAGAGTCGTGTGTCTGGTGATCACTCGGATGTGTCGACCACTCAGCATGGTGAAGCAGCTATCGAGGATTCTTAGCAGAGCCAATACTTCCTTCTCCACAATGTCGTACCCGATCTCGTGAGACCGCAGTGACCTACTCGTAAATTTGACGGGTACGTACACTCCATCACGACACTGAACGAGAGAGGCAGAGATCGCCCACTTGCTTGCGTACACAATCACAACAGGATCCAACTCTGGGGCAAAATGGTAGAGCATGGGTGCGTTGATCATCTTGAACTTCAGGGTATCGAAGACTCGTAGCGCGTGGCCCCACCTCACAGTCGCCTCGTGATTTCCGCTGACGTTTGTGGCTCGACCCTTGATGAAATCGGAATCTCCGAACTCATACAACACTGTGGCATATACTGCGAAATCTTCGATGAAGCGATTGTAGTAGTTGAGACTGCCGAGG